GCCGTCTCCAGCCATTATTAACTTCAATAACGTTCAACAGAACTTTCGTAACTAAGTAACGCCTAACTCATGAATATAAAAACTTACTTGCAGAATTTCAATCACAGATACACTATCCATCACGGTCAATTCCGGCTCTGAAGTAACTCAATCATTAATTCATATATACATATATTTATATTGTACTCATTTTATACTTAGTACACGAAATTTCTAGATTACAATGTCATGCGTCCTCTAGTAAACGAACGTTTAAATTAAAATATTAAAAATATAACTTACAACAATATGAACAAAATTAAAATGCGAGACATTCGTAAAGCTTCATCAAAATATTCATATCAGTTTCAATTGCATTAACTTTTAATTTAACTTTATCTTTGATATGGTGGCTTAACATTAAGTCTGAGGTCTTATGACCCTAAAAGTCTGGTTTCAATACTCGCGGTGGTCGCAGCATAAACAGCCCATGGTGCATCTTTATGCTCAACAACAAATAAACACATTAATTATAAAAAATGTATGACCACTTAAAATTTCGGAAAAAATTAATACAACTGCACAATTTTCTTTAAAGAAAATGGAATTTTGACGTGAACATGCAAATTGTTAATCCTCTAATATATCATTTAAAATAATTTTAAATTAAAATCGATTTTATTTGCGTCAAGGTAGAGGGCAGCACATTTTGTGACAAGCATGAACTGCTAAATCTGGGATTTCAAGTTGAACTTGAAGTGTTCGTATACATTTATTTTTAAAGCTTACCGCAAGTGTTGCTTTAAAGCATTTATAAAGTGTCAAATAGAATTGAAGAGGGTTTTCTTGAATACTTTTAGCATCTTCTGAAATCCTGAGATAGTCTAATCCCCTTTGGATTTATTAAATTACTGTAGTCTTTTGTGCTACTACTATACTAGGCTCTTCTAATTCTAATTTTAGGGTCATGTTCCAATTTTTAACCCTCATCAGCACACCTTTGAAAAGTTATGTTGTGGAACATCTGGAGTCCAAGAGGACCCCAGCACAAAATTACCATTATAGTAAGCTCTGGGTTGAAATTCCAAAAAACAATTACAAGTTTTATTAGGGTTAGCTGCAATGTGAAAAACATAAAAATGTACGTATTCCAGAGGAAATAAGTTTACAAATCAAGAAATTACATTATTCCCCAGTATTACTATTAAATCATTCCTTACACAAACAGTGTATCAAGAAAACACCAAAGTTTTGTTATACTCCTGTAAGTTATTATCCACCAATATATGATGAGATTACCACAATACTGCAAAATTCAACTCAAAGAAAACTGAAAGTGTACGTTGTGAGTCACCTTGTGTCCGACCAGACCCCAACACAAATGTATCCTTATAGTAGGCTGTGGATTGAAAATCCAATAAGCAAGTTATTTACAACAATTATCAAACAAGGTTTCTATAAAATAGGGCATTATAAGTAGTCGTCACAGAGAACACTTGTTGAGGAATAATGTTATAAAACAAACAGAAGATGATGCTGTACTACTTCGATGAATTATCCTCTAAAACAGCCTATATAGTGAAGTAAACATTTCGAAATTTGTTTCAGATAGTATAGGGTGAACAGCATTTATAGTGATGGTTTATGATAATATGGGATCCGTGTGGACTCCAGGTGTGCTTATGAGGGTTAACTTGTATTGAAGCTTATAGCAATAAAAAACAACTGCACATAAAAAGTAGCTGAGTTCTCATTTGATTTCATTAGAACACCGAACAAACTGTATAAAATATTTAAAAGTATCTCTACTAGTACTAATGGGGCTAACTCAAAAACAAAACACAAGTTAATTAAATGCTGCAAGCTCAACTCTCATGCTATTTTAAATGTCAACTGTTATACGTTTCATATATTACTCATGCCTATCAACTAAGGAAAACAAAGCTACAGCAGGAAAAGAACCAAAGAAAATCGTGAAAAATGAAGGATGCAGAAATAAATAAAGATGAAGCCGAAACAAATTTATTGTAAAACTTAAGTTAATAAAACCTCTCATAAAATGAAAACAAGCAATGAATGATGATAACCTGATGTGTCTAACGTGTTTCTTGCCAGGCAGTCAGACTCCTGGAGGACGATTGGATGGAATAGTGTTCGTCTTATAATGCTTCCAGGAGTTAACGAGTTTGGGTAGATTACATAAATTGCAGCATCTTATTGTAACAGACAAGAAGGTAGCAAGATATACAAAGTGAATTATCAAAAGTTATGAACAGTCCTTGTAAATCTCACCTTTAAATAAAACTTTTTAAAAGATTACAAGAAATTTTGAGGATCCTAACAACGTTACTAATGCATTAGGAAAAGGTGCAGCCTAAATCGTTAAGATAATAAATATTTAACATTACACCAAGTCTAAACTAATATTTTTATTATTACACTTATGATACAATATTTCTTTTTTAAATTATTATAAATTCAAAACTTAGAAACTGGTATGCTTTAAAACATTAATATATATAAAATAATGTTCATAATAAAATTATAAAGTATTATTTGCACATATCTGTTTTGTCAATAAGATCATTTATTTGTGATAACCGGGGCTTACTTATGATAGAGATGGGTACTTGAGAAGCATCGGTTATTCATTGAGAAAAAGTAATATCTTTAAGCCTAAAGCAAAACTAACCAGTCTTAGTATTAAAATAAAATAAAAAACTGAGAAGTTTCATAAATCATCACAATATAACGAGTTTCATGATTACATATATCCATTCAAGATGAGGATTACATTTTTTAGAGAATTTCTGTAGGATGATTTATTCAATCTTAGTTCTTCTGAGATGCTTCATTCTGAAATTGTCTAGTAGATATTCACATTATTAAGTTGTGTTTCATAAATAGACAACTGAATCAATATTATGAAAGACATGCCTATTTACACATTTAAAAGTACTTGACTTTTCTATCTGAAATACCAGTTATCATAAAAGATTATTTAAACAAGATTGTAAAATTTCATCAAAGAAGTACATCAAGTATAAT